CGCCATTTCTCTGTCCCCTCGCTGCTTCCTTTGCTGTCCCCAGGGAGCCGTTTCCGGCAGCTCCGTCGCCTCGGGGCTGGGAGGTGCTTTCTGGCTCTTCCTCACTCRGCGAACACGCAGCTTTGCTCTCGCCATGCACCTCGCATTTCTCATCCTCACGCTCTTCCTGGGCCAGCTCCTGGGTAAGTCCTGCCTTTTCCCCAAGGCACCCTTCTTCATCTTCCTCCAAGGAAACTCTCAACAGCCTTAGCAGGATCATGTGGGCAAATATCAGTGAAAAGGGGGAAAAGGCTGAGAAATCTCTGCTTCTGTTTGTGATTGTAAAAGTGTTTGCTCAAGAAGCTGTTACATCCGTAAAGAAAAGGGAAAAGAGAAAAACCTTAGATCCCTTGTCTGTCTTTCTCTCCCCTTCAAATTATCTCCTCTGCCTCTCTCTTCTGATCCACCTGTTGTCACCGCAGGACGTCTCAGCCGCCTCTACAGTCCCACCGTCCTCTCTTTCTAATGCAAATTCCCCGATCCTGTCAAATCTGCTCTTGGCACTTTCACCTCTCATTTCACTGTCATTGTCCAGTTTTGCAACATAAACAGGACTCCCTTTTTCCAAACCCAGCATTGTGTGTACTCAGGGATTGAGGATCCCTCAGAGGTGACAGGGATGGGCAAGGAGGATGAAACCTTTTGCTTTATGTTGATGGATTCCTCATTTCCTTGAGCACACAAAAGTCAGTCTGTTCCCTGGTCATCTGAGCAGTAGAAGGAGCAGGGACACCAAACTGTTCTCCTTTGGGTCCTGCTGTGCTGAGAGCTCTGAAATCCTGCCCAAAATCACTCTTGCCAGCCTGTTTGCACATCTCAGGACTCCCCTACAGGGAAGAAAGCTTTCTTCACGACAGTTTGGCACTCACTTTGCATTTTGTTCCTCTAATATTTCCCATGGAGCTGCTGACATTCATTTTCTTTCAGGCACCGCAGGCCAGACCACAGTCTCCCAGGAAGATGGACCAGTCATGGTGAAGCAGGGACAGCCCTTCCAAACCACCTGCAAATACCAGACCAGTTATTTTAGGGGATTATCCTGGTACCAGCTGCGGGAAGGCCAAGCCCCAGAGCTGCTCTCCTATCAGTCAGGGCCTGGCCCCAGGCACAGCGGCCGTTTCACCACGGATCTGAACACCACGGGCAAATACAGTGTCCTGCGGGTGGAGGAAGTGGAGGTCTCTGACAGTGCCT